GAAAGGAAATTAGTCAAAAAACCATATATTTCACCAATTCTTTTAGATGCAATTCAAGGAGAAACCGAAGAAAAACTTGATGATAAAGTAAATAATCTACAACAAGAAATGAAAGAAATGAGGGAGGTGCTTAATGCAATAAAAAATAAAGTTGAGCAGTTATAATTTAGATGCAAGGTTGATCTATAAAATATTTTAGTTTATGAATAGAACAGAGTTACGTATAAAAAAAATTTTTTTGTTTTAAATAATTTGCAACTACTAAATAAATATGTTATTAAATTAAAAGCTATCTATAAGTATTTAATATCTATATATATAAATATGCATGGCAAGGACAGGGAATTTATGTGATTTAAGTTCGCAGAGAGCTATAAGCTACACAACAATTAATATATAATAACTAGAGATTATGCTTTTCTGCCGATAATTAAGTTTGCAAACGTTATAATAATTACATGACATTACCGATTATTAATAATGCTTTAGTTTAGTAAATTAAAAAATTTTAAAATTACTTTCTTTTTAATAAAATACGGAAAAGACGATTACTATTTGTACACCAGGTGTATATACACACATATATTGATATCTCGAAATTTTGATTATAAAACCCACTTCGGGGTTCTAACAAAAAAAATTCCTTGCAAAATTTTAGTATAAACTATAACCTTCTCTAACTCTAAAGCTACCCTCACCCTAACCTTAAACTATACTAATTTTTCATTTACAATTTATATATTAAACAAATTTGTAAGTATGTATGTATATACACCTGGTGTAAATTAAGTAATTTTCTATGGAAAAATAGAAATATAAAGTATATAGACAAAAATTGATTAAGCTTTCAGCTTCGCTTCATTGGCCTCTTTGTAAAACTAGTTTATTTTTTTATTTTCATTTATTGTGGTCGTATATTATAATGCAAAGCATAAGTTCTTACTACTTTGTGATCTTATAATTATTATAATATGCTGACCAAGATTATAGCAAACACACTAACTTTGATTTTTTTTTTTATATATTAGCGTTGTTTTCTTGTTTTTATTATGGCTCCCAACTTCACTTTACTCAGATTCTTTTTAAACCCAATCCTAATTTTATTATACAATAGTGCGATGAGTAGTGATTTGCATCACCCATCTTATCTAGTATTTTTTTTAATCACATTTAGTGCTTGGTAATAGACTGACCAATTGATTAAGTCACATAAGAAAAAATTAATAAGATTGTTCCAGATACTTTGATTAACAAATAATTATACCAGGACAAGTGATAAAATCACAAAGTGTATGGCTTAGTGAAAAGAAATGGTGTATAGCATAAAATCTAATATTCAATTGCTAAGCATGTTTAAATCCTTAGTAAGTTAAAGATCCCGGATGAGAAAACTGAGTCACCTAGGTGGGTTGCACTTGGTCCTCTTTGACAGAATCTAGTTATAGATACTTGTTATAAATGACCAAGTAATTCTTTATTAGTACAGGCCCAATATAAGAATATAAAGTAGATTAGCCTTTATTGTACATTTATGCTAATTAAAATAATAAAGAAAAGATCACTAAATCGCAAAAAAAAATAAATAAATAAATAAAGATACAAAAAAATTTTTTATACAACTCACAACATAAAATTCATTGGTTAAAAAGTATATTAAAATAAATAAAAATACTGTATAGTTTTATTTATCAAAAATATTTTAGAATTGAATAAAATTTGTAGCAAAATTATTATAAATAAAACTAGAACAAATAAGTTTGTTGAATACAAATTCAAAGCTTTCAGATTTAGCAAAAATAGTAGAGTACTTACTATTGAAGCTAAGTTTTTAGTGATGCAAGTTACTTATTAACTCACAACACTAGTTATACTTGATTCTAGAAAAAAAGTATAATTTTTAATACAATTATAAGATCTTAAAACAAAAATGTATTGTATAAATACTATTCAACAAAAGCAGGTTTTATAGATACAATTTTAGATATCTTTTTTATTATAAAATTCTAAACACAATTTAATAAAAAACTATAATAAAAATATTAAATATAATATTACAAAAAACATTATCTAAACTATTATAAATAATATATTTTATTAATCTATTTATAATTTTTATTAATATAATAGTTTATAATTTTATTTATAAATAAAAATATATATATTAGCTATTTATAATAATGAATTCAAAATTATTGTAATTTACTTGAACCTAGAACTGTGATCTTTTACTTCAAAAAAAAATTTTAAGTAATCATATAGGTCACTACAAATTTTTTATATTATAACAATAGCAGAAAATAATAAACTTATCTTAAAGATATATTGTTATCAACTAACAACAAAAATTTTTTGCCAACTAACTATCTACTATATATATTTTTTTATAATTATGAGCATATCAATCTATATAACAAGCTATAGAAAAATAATAAACTAACTCAATAAGACAAATTTAAAATTATATTAAATATAATAAATTTAAAATAGAAATATTATATATATCTATAGATTTTCTCATACTAATATCAAAATTCTAGAATTGATTGAAAAAATATATTAAAGGTTAACTTATCAGACCAAATATAAAATTTGAACTATACTAATTAGTTATATTTTATTAAATTTATAAGTTAATATTATATTTTATTAAATTTATAAGTTAATATTATACTTTATTAAATTTACAAGTTAATATTATATTTTATTAAATTTATAAGTTAATATTATATTTTATTTATTATTTAAAACTTTCTATATTCAAATTTACTAAAAAAATTATTCAAATTTCTTGAAAATATTATATATAAGACTCTATATTCTTTATAAAAAATTATTTATTATTAAATATTAAATATATTTTATACTATGATTCTATAAAAATTTTATTAATTTTTAATATTTTTTATTTTATTTTTTTATATTTATTATATTAATTATATTGTTATTATCATATGATTATATTAGTATATTATTATTATTATTTTTGTATTTTTATCTATATATATATAAAGCAAACTATCTGTCACATAGTATGTGTTCCTTATAGTATAGTATAACTGAGATGTATGAATAATCTAAAATACTATTTATACAGAAAATGAAGTTTTATGACTTAATTTATATATTCTTTATGATACAGTATAACAATAGTGTATATTATATATTGCTACAGATTATGTGAGATTATATACGAAACAAGATCATATGACTTTTATATATGTTTGCATTTATATAATACTTTTACAAAATTTAAGTTATACAATAAAAGTCATATGATTTGTGTAACTTGAATCTGCAAGTATATTATACAAAAGGTATTTAGATAGTTTACATAAAATAAAAATTGTTATACAAAATTTACTTTTTATAATATTATACAAATTATTGAAATTCAAGTTTTTATATTTTTATTTTATATAAAAGTTAGGTATTTATAAATACAAATGAGTAAGAGAACTCTAACTCAGGTACTAACTTGGGTATTTAGAAATGCAAATGAATAAGAAAACTTTAATATAGATATTAACTTAGGTATTTAAGATTGCAAATGGATAAGAAAACTCTAATTCAGATATTAACTTGAGTAAAGTATACAAATGTGTAAAAGAACTTTTACTCAGATACTAACTCAGGTATTTAAGAATACAAATAGGTAAGAGAACTTTAATTTAGATACTAACTTAGGTATTTAAGAATGCAAACAGATAAGAAAACTCTAACTCAAATTCTAACTTGGGTATTTAAAAATACAAAGAACTTTAACTCAAATATTTAAAAATATAAACAGTATAAGAACTCTAACTTAGGTACCTTTTATTTTAAGAATACTATTGCAAAACAACAGAATCAGACCTAGTCTATAAATATTTTTTTTTTTTTTTTTTTTTTTTTTTTAATATTAATGGTGAGACCATGTCTCTAACTTTATTAAAATTTAATTTGA